ATCTTTACACAATATATTATCTATTGGATGAACCAGTCAAAAAATATGCACCAGAAGTTGACAGACATGATGAGTGATGAGAGTATTCTCAGTGAATGTATAATAATAATAGATTCGTTAACATTTATAATAAAATGTTATTGCATTCTAAATACAGTTAAACCTCGTTCAACGAATCTTGTTCCAACGAATTTTTAAAAAGTTATAAAGCGCGATTAATAATTTTGGTGTATATCAGGTATTAATATGCAATTCATTTCCATAGATTCGTTGAAACAAAGTTTGACTGTATATAAAATTCTGAAATATATTATACGTACAGTATTCGTATATTCACAACATTCCCCCCAATTTAAAGATAACAATCATTTTTGATAAACATTTTGCCAAAAGCCACAAAATATATGGTTTAAATGTTTGACAAGTTACGATATCTAAATTACACCAGCGATGAAGTCACTGGTGCAACAAAGTACATTTCTGGTTTTGCTATTACTGTTACCATTAAAACCGAAAGAAATTTTTTATTTTGTCAGTTTGACAAGAGGCCTGACATTTCGCTCGTACATCCTTTGAGACTTATTTTATTTCCTTGCAAAATTTAGGCACAGCTTATTAAAGAAATGGCCTTTATTTTGCATTATTGTTATCCTAATTTTGCTTTTAACAGACGTTTTTAGCAATTATTTTTTTGGTCTCTTACTCCTTGCGAACATTGTAAAAAATCCAACCCAATCCGCAAATACCACATAAATTTGTCTTGGAGCCCATTATTTGAATTCATTGATAGGTCATACATCACATTTTAATAAGTTCAACTCTCTACTCTCTTCAAAAAATCTCTGTGGACTGATTTATAACTTCTTTATACGAGTTAATTGATTTTTTCAAGGAAATTCTTTACAGGCCGAGTAACACCTTTGTCAAGTTCCATTTTCATTGAGGCGATTAACATGAGTTCTTCCATATTAAACAAATAAATTGTCGGACATTTATGTCGGAGTTTTTTATACATTTAAATTTAATTAACGTTCTTTTGTCATCGCAAACGGATTTTATCATTGAAATATAAAATAGATTGTGACGGGAATTCATACAGTATATAAATAAATTCCACGATTTATTCCTTCCCAGAATTATCGAAGCTATAATAGAGTTAAATAAACGAGTGAATATGAACTATTAAGAAATAAATCTATTTAAATTTAACTTGCCTTATTAATAATTTGGTTGTAATAATGTCTTGCATAAATGGTTAATAATAATAAATGAAGCACTTAGAAATTAACGGATTTTCAATATATTATGAAAAAGTGTCATTTCAATCATTGTAATTGGGTTTAAACAAAATTTTCATCTATGTAACATATATGAATTGGTCGACAAAGTATTCTAGAATTGATTTCAAACTGTG